AAACATTCTGTTGTTGGGTAACTTTTTAAAAAGCCATATGGGGATAACACATCAAGATCCACAACTTGGCTGAGGTAGGCTAGGCTGAGAATTAGGGACTGGCCCGAGATAACTCCATGAGCTGTGGCTCAGTGGCACAGCATCTGCTTGGCATGCAGAAAGTCCCAGGTTCAATTAAAGAATGAGGTAGTAGAAGGACCCCTACCAGAGACCCTGGAGGGCAACGGCCAGTCTGAGTAGGCCATACAGACTGTGAGGGGCCAAGGGTCTGATTCAGTATAAGGCAGCTTCATGTGCCCCTGTGAGCTTCCATGGGGATTTTGAACCTAGTTCTCCTTATTCAACTTCTGAACCATCCTTTCAAAAGTAAGCTTTGTATTCACATTACAAACTCAGTTGAAGTGATTTAGACCACTTAAAAGGCCCTGAATTTGCTTAAGGGAGGGGAGCCATTGGCTGTTAAAAGGGACTAAAGCTGGGACTAAAGCTGCAATGAAGATTGCAATGACTTTAGAAAGTCATTCTGTAGCTCCCATCTCCTTCCTGTGGAATCAGCACTTGGTCAGAGATGTATATCTCCTAGGGAACATGCTAGTCATTAGCTGATGTACTTTAGAAATTACTACACTTCAGGCAATACCAGAGTTGGTGATGAGATTCTCTGATTGCAACCTCTCTAGACAAGAGCCCCGACGAGGCTGACAGTACAAAAGCAGCAGCGGCTAAAATGGAAAAAGAATATGAAACGCAGAAAGATTCCACAAAAGATGAAGAACAAAATACAGGGAACAGTGAAGAGCCAAAAGGTAAGTGGGATTCTCCCCCTCCACATTTCCAGGTAGTTTCTGGCATATGTCATCAAAAAGCTTTCCAAATATTGCAACATGGAGGCTGGGATCCAAAGCGCATCCTTTGGCATGCCCAAAGACTTGCTTGTCTGTCTGTCTTTGGACAACATGCCCACTGGCTGTATTCCGAAATGTTTTCAGATGCCCCTCAGTTCCAAAATGGTTTGCCATGTGACATTGGAGGAAGGATGCCCGCTGGCCGAAAACAAAACACCCTGAATGCACAGGACTAGTTGCATGACTCTTTGGGGGATATGCTTTGCGAGCAGAAGGTCTCAGGGTCAGATCTTCCGCCACTCTTGGCTGTGTTGGGGTAGACAGCATGTTGGATTTGGACTAGAGAGACTTGAGTTCAAATCCCACTCAGCCTTAAAAGTCCCAGGGTAGTCTTAGCTATCTTGACCCACCTCGCAGCATCCTTGATATGAGAAAACAGCGTAGCCCCATGCACGCTACGTGGATCTTCTTGTGGAAGGGTGGCCTTACAGTGGTGCAAAAAATAAGGAAGATCTCACAAATATAGAGAACCCTAAAAAAGAAGAAAATGGGAACATCAATCCTTGGCGCATGCACCACTCTAACAGGGGGTTGACCTATTGAACGGAGAGCAAGTTGCGCTGTTATCTTTCCTTGCCAACTCTGAACGCTAGTTTTGCTAACCAAATCCAGTACATTCAATATATCACAATAGCAGGCGGTTCCTTCCTAATGGCATCTGTACCTTTTAAAAACATAAAATCATTAGTGAGTTCAATAGTCTGGGTTGAGCCATATTGATTGGTCTGTAACATGAGAGGACAGGGGGGAAAACAAATCAAAAGTCTGTGAGTCATTTCCAGTAGAGAATTCCGCTCTTTGAACAGCTCAGAATGAAACAGAGAAGATGGATGAGGTGGGTTGCTTTCAATACCCGTTCTCTGCAGACATCGTTGCTTGAGTAACTTGGCATGCAGCCCTTCACAACTTTGCATACAGTGAATTGCTAGACAGTAAGGCGCACTGGTGGTTTTTGATTTGTGAATAGTTCATTCACACATGCAGATCACTCCTGATGCTACAAACATAAGGTAATCGTTGGCATCTGTGACCTAACCCACAGAGATTTATGGTGCTCCCCCTTTGTTTATGGAGCAAATATCTAATATTTATTGTACTGTGGTCCTCTCCACCACTAGGAGTGAGAGATTCTAGGGCCAGTGCCACCAGCTTTCTCTCCCCTTGGTGAGAAAGTGCTAGAATCTTAGGATGTCTGTGTGATATTTGCTTCCTTTCCTTCCTTTCTGACTGGAATGCCTTTATTATAATTTCTATCGTTGAATTATGGATTGCCCCTATTTTAACAAAATTACCTTCTGCCTTATCAAAAGACAATATAGCCCCTTATCTGTTGGTGGATATTGATCCAAGGATTACGCTGAACGCGGCCAAGTATCTCTCCGCCATATTTTCCTTAAAGAAATAAAGGCTCCTTTTTCGTTGCTCAAGATCGTTGGCTCAAAGGAGCTTGAAAGAAAGGAAGGAAAGGAAATATTTGCTTCATTTATGAATGTAGAAGTAGAGCATGGATGGAGGTAAAGAGGTGCTCCCATAGGGCAGCAGATCTGGTGCCTCAACTCAGATCACAGAGAGAAGTCTCACGGCCTTGTGCAGGCCCATAGCTACAGTGGGGCATCTCGGGGCTAGGCCCCCGACTTAATGGCAAGGCCCCACGACTTCCCATCCAGCCCAGGGACCCCGAGCAGTGGTGGATGCAGGGAAGGGGCCAGGTATTCCTTTGATTAGCCAGTGCCCCTTAAGAAATTTTAATGCCCCCCAACTTAAAAAATCCTGTCTATGGGCGTGGCCTTGTGTGTCTCTATTGTCTGCCTCTCTCTCTCCATCCCCCTGCCCCCACTGCTAGCTGTTAGATCCTCATGCACCTGCGCACGCGCGCACACACGCTTCTCCCTAAGCTAAAAAGGGTAACACCTTCTCCAAGCTTTGATAGGCCCTCGCTCGAGAAAAAGGGCTGAAACAGACCTGAAGATTACTGTGGATAATCATTATCATGGATCTCTGTTGGAACTTAAATGATTAATTGTGCTCATGCTGACACAATTTGGATCAGGGCCATGCAGGAAAGGAAGAGGGGGCTTAACTAGGGTGTGCAATTTTTGTTGTTGTTTGGGTATATTGGACCCCGAAAAATTTCAGGATTCCTGAAAAATCCCAGTATTCGGATTTGGGGATTTTTTTGGAAATCCCAAATTTTTTCAGGTCCAATAGACCCGAGAAGAAGAAAAACAGAGGGGAAAAGCGCATACAGCAAGAAAATTGAGAGACGGTAATTTGAGGAACAAGTGAATTAAGTTCCAGTGAGACTAACAGCTGGTTCGCCATTGCCTTCCTCTGCACAGCAGCCTTCAAACTCCTTGGTGGCTTCTCATCCAAATGCTGAACAGAGCTGACCCTGCTGAGCTTCTGAGATCTGACAAGCTCAGACTAGCCTGGACTAGCCCAGTTGGCCCTGGTTAGCAATTGGATGGGAGATCACCAAGGGATTCCAGGGCTGCTCTGCAGTAGAAGGCAATGGCAAACCCACCTCTATTAGTGTCACTGGTACTTAATTCACTTGCTCTACAGATTATCGTCTCTTGATGGGATGAGACACACAGAAGTGGAAACAGGAGTCTTCCAGGAGGCTAATGGCTCTTGTCTTATCTGACAAAACGTGAGCATCTTACATCTATGAAGCTCTTGCAAAGCAAAGAGTTTCAGAAGCCATTAAACTATTATATTACTCAGGGGACCTTATTAAGTTAGCTTTGAACTAATTTTGTCTTGGTTGTCCCATCAGCAAACTGGCTGAGACTTATTTAGCATTTCAAACACAATGAATAATGTGAACAAGAGAACGATAATGAAAATAATAAAAATAAAATGCCGTTTTCGACTTGGCAAAGATTATAGGGCGGAAGGGGGCATGGGAAAGATCACAGATCTCAGGCAGTATCTAAAAAGTAAACAGCATTTAGTAAAGGTAAAGGTTCCCTTGCTCGAAAGCCAGTCGAATCCGACTCTAGGGTTGCGGTGCTCATCTCCGTTTCAAAGCCGAAGAGCCAGCACTGTCTGAAGACATTTCCGTGGTCATATTTATTTATTTATTTTATTATATTTATATTATATGTGGCTGGCATGACTAAACACCAAGGCACATGGAACGCTGTTACCTTCCCACTGAAGTGGTACCTATTTATCTACTTGCAATTTCTTGCTTTCGAACTGCTAGGTTGGCAGGAGCTGGAACTAGAGACGGGAGCTCACTCTGTCATGCGGCACACTCAGGTCTCGAACTGCTGAACTACCGACCTCCCACAGCCTGCAGTTCCGCGTCTTAACCACTTGAGCCACTGTAGCTCCTTAAACAGCATTTAGGTAAAGGTAAAGGTAAACGCGGTCCTGTAGGTAGGTTGGTCCCAGACCGTTCAAGGCCTTAAAGGTCAATACCAAAACCTTGAACCTGACCCAGTACTCTACTGGAAACCAGTGTGCCGTCCATGACTTTTTGGGGAGGGAGATTAGTTAGCTTGACATTAATTTATAAAAACTGAGACAGGAAGTCTTGAATTCTGTTGCCTTGACTCCTGGGAGACCTGTTTTTTTTGTTGCATTCTTTTGTTGGAAGCTGCTTTGAACTTTTGGAGAGGAGAAATATAAAAGTCTGAAATAAATATTGGGGTGGATCCTGCCAGCTTTTCCACCCAATCTCCCCTGGCTTTCTTCTTTACAGCAGCCCTTTGTTCATGCAGGTTCCATGATCCCCAGCGTAACATTTTTGGGCAGTTATTTTTCATTGGCAGAAGAGCTGGTTAGATCCACCCCACTCTCAATAATAATAAGCAGTGGCTGTCCTAGGGAAAGATAGAATCCAGTTATGCTTCACCGTGGACTCATTCCTTACTAATTTAGTGTGTAACAACTGCTGGGTTGTCCTATTAAACTAAGACCAATAGTAGATTTAATTAAATCTACAGTGTCACAAAACATTGTGTGTTAAACCAAGCTGTGTACTAAGAATTGCTAATATACTGTTTTCTCTTCCTTTTGGCTTTTCAAGGGAAAGCAGAAGCATATTTGGAAGCCATCAGAAAGAACATCGAATGGCTGAAGAAACACAACAAGCAGGGAAACAAAGAAGGTAGGTTGGCGAGAACTGAGGGGGTGTGTGGTTTCATTAGAATTTGGCTTCATAGTATGAATTGGCCTGAAAGGTTGAGATCCACATTAGGATTATGAAGTACAAAGCTGAGAGGAGCAAAAGAGAAATGCAATAGTATAGGCGTCAATCTGACCATATTTGTGAAAAGTATCCCATAATGGGGTGGGTGGGGTGGGGGGGGGGGAGCATCACCGAGATAGCCCTGCTTCTCGGTCAGCACCCACCTAACCTTACCCCAAAAAGATCTCTGAAGATGTTCTTAAAGGACAAGTCGGTTCATATGGGACCTGGTGGGAAAGAAGTGAAGAGCAGTAATTGGTCAATGAGGGAGAAACGGCAATTGAGCTAAATGGTAAGAAATGGGACAAGAATTATTTATTTATTTATTTATTCATTCATTTCTTCATTTTACTTCATTTCTACTTCACATTTCCCCCCCAAGGAGGACCCAAAGCAGTTTACAACATTCTCCTCTCCTCCATTTTATCCTCACAACAATCCTGTGAGGTAGATTAGGCTGGGAAGGCGATACTGGCCCAAGGTCACCCACTGAGCTTCCAGGGCAGGGTGGGGATTCGAACGTGGGTCTCCCAGATCCTAGTCCAACACTCTAACCCCTGCACCAAGCAGGCTCTGTAATCAACCCCATCTGGATTCCTTAGCCATTAATGTTATTTGAAGCAAACAGATCAAGAAGATATGGCTGGTTGTTACTAATGGGCTCATTATTACAGGTTTTTTCCAGAACTTAACAAAGTCACACGTTTCCTCTATTAATTAGCAGAGCACTGTGGAACGTATTTACATAATTACCCATATGCAAGTCTGTGGCACAACCTTCTCATTTATATTAGCCTGCATCTTCTGGAAGATTAAACCAAATGCCAAAATGAACTTAAAGGAAATTATGTTTGAAAATTAACTTGCTTATTTAATTCAGATATGTTAACTGAGCAATTCTAGAATTTTCTCCCTACCTGGGAAGGGGGCTACAGCAGCTCTGTCGTTATTCTGTTCACAAACTGATGTGCAGGGGTGGTCTTAATGATTCCTGGGCCCTGAGCAAAGCTCAGTGACGGGGCCCCGGAATCACTGGCTTCAGGAGGGGCAGCGTGCAAACTCACCACCACCACCCTCCCTGGATGAGGCAGTTTCATACATTCACAATTAATACAGGGATTATGACACACCGTAACCTGCCTTAGATTCGTGTGCAGAATTACTATAATAAATTATGCAAATCAAGGTGGCACATGTTAATGTCTTTAATTTGCATAACTGGGTCAGAGTGTTTATCTGTTTGCAGCACAGACCCTGAGCTAGCCTTGTGAGAGATTTCTGTGTATTCAGCTTGGACGATCTTTAATAGATCGTGCTTTGACTCCAATGTGGCTATGAATTTTCATTTCCCAAGCGTGCCTTTTAAAAGCCGCCAGGAACTATGTACAAGCCCTTCAAAAGTCCTTACCCAAGAATTCAGATGTTCAGTTCAGTTTGTTTCAATACAAGATCCATGCAATTCAGATGTAATGTTGACAGAGGGAAGGTGACACAGAAAAAGCCTGCTGGATGGAAGAATGAATGAACACACATGAAGCTGCCTTATACTGAATCAGAGCTTTTGGGTCCGTCAAAGTCAGTATTATCTGCTCAGACTGGCAGCGGCTTTCCAGGGCCTCAGGCAGAGATCTTTCACGTCACCTACTGCCTGATCTTTTAAGCAGAGATACTGGGGACTGAACCTTCTGCATGCCAAGCAAATGCTCTGCCACTAAGCCACAGCCTCCCCCTGGATAAACGCCTTCTGTGTTTCAGATTACAATCTTTCTAAACTGCGGGACTTCATTGATCAACAAGCTGACGCTTATGTGGACAAAGGCATCCTGGATAAAGAAGAGGCAGATGTGATCAAACGTATCTATGGCAGCCTGTAAGGAACAGAAAGGACGTCTCTTGAAGCTGTAGGGAATTCTAGTCTAGCTGCATCCTCTCACGATCCACAGCCTGTTTGTTTTCTCTCAGTTTTCAAAGAGATTATTAGAAAGTGTTCCGTCTGCATCGTATTGAATCTTTTCCAGGTTAAAAAAAAAAAAATGTGTTAACAACCCACATATTCACCTTTCCTGCTCATTTATCATCCCATTGAAGGCAGACCTTTGCTGCCCACTTTAGACTTAACAGGGTAAAACACTGACTTTCCTGTTCCCTTTAACTTAATATTTGACACCCGGCAATTCTGCTAGAGAAGCCAGATGTTTCTGTGGGAGAGCTCTCTTGCCCCAGCAACCCACGTACTTGCCACACTGTTCAGTTGGATCCAAAGAACCACAAGCCAAAGGAAAACAGCCACTAATACTGTTCTGCAAATGCTTGCAACAACAAGAGGTCATGCGGTGCTGGGATAAGTTGGTTCTGTTATAGTTCCCATGCTTCCGCCTATGCAAGCAGCGATGCCAGTGCTCACACAAGCAGAACACCTTTGGCTTTTTCTTTCCCTTCCTTGCACAATGCTCTAGCAGTGCGAGGCATACAACAGCCCTTCCATAAGCAGAAGCCCCCTCCAGGTCTGGAAAGGTGCCTTTGGATCTAACTCAGTGACTTGTTAGATGTGCTGTTATTCATTTGTAAAGGGCGTTATCAGGGAAGAATGGCGAATAAAATCCCTGCAGCTAAACGAAGAAATCTCACTTTCAAGTTCCCATTGGTCTTTGCTTGTTTATTTGATGTCCAAGATTGTCTCGTTTTGAATTCACGTGTGTCACACCATTTTCTTGCTATTTATACATTCTGTAGCATGTCCCTGTCTGTGTGCCATTAACTAGCCACTCTATGTTCAACAAATGCATCAGCCTTTAACATAGATCTTGCAGGGAGGAAGAACTGGAGTGCTACGGTCAGGTACAGTAGCAATGTTGTCATTAACACACTTGGTAGCTTTTTAGTAAGTGTTATTTCTCTGTGCATGTATAAAGAATTGAATTCTCCATGTGAGTAGCTTAACTACACGTGTAAATAGCTATCAATTTCAAAGGACAGAAAAATACCACTGTAAAGATAAACCTTTCCGGGAGCTTACAACTAGAGGTACTCAGGAGCATTTGGTCAAATATTTCCATTTAGACGATACATTGCTTTTGCCAATCAGGGTGCGATACGTTTTAACTACTGGTCTGAAGCGAAAGCAAGTGCTGTTTCTTGTTAAGAACGTAAGAGCAGCCCTGTAGGATCAGGCCAGTGGTCCATCTAGTCCAGCATCCTGTCTTTCTCACACAGTGGCCAAACAGTTACTCTGGAGGGCCAGCAACAGGGCACAGAGGCCGAGGCCTCCCCCTAATGTTGCCTCCTGGCACTGGTATTCAGAGGCTTTCTGCCTCTAATCTTGGAGGTCCCCTTTAGTCATCATGGCTAGCAGCCACTGAAAGACCTTTCCTCCATGTGTCTGTCTAATCCCCTTTTTGAACCTATCTGTCTGTAGCTATCAGTGAATGCCACACTGAAATCACTTGTTATGTAAAAGAAGCATTTCTCTGTTGGGACTGAGGCTGCGATCACACACACTAAATAATCCTCTTTCAATCCACTTTCAAAGCGCTTTTGATTTTGATTTTGCCAGTTTACACAGTAAAATACAGTTGGAAAGTGCATTTGAAAGTGGATTGTTTTAGTGTGTGTGATCGCAGCCAAAGTGACTGATCAGCAGAGTTTCCCAGACTTCTAGTAGTGGAGGTTCGCTTCTTTGTTGACTAAAACTGGAGGTCACAAAGCGAGACCAACTGGGGGTTGTTCTGAGTGTTGCAGAAAGGTACCTCCTTTGTTCTTGTTTGTGCAATTCCTGGCTGGAAAGAGCAGTGACTCACGCAGGGCTGCAACAGGCGTGTGATTCTGCTGAGTCTCGGCATCAGTTGAACAATCCATTAATATCTGACAAAGGGACTTGACAGAATTATCCCCAGCCAAGGCCGAGTAGGAAGCTAGGCCAGACGCAGCAGGCAGCTTCATCCGCAGCTGGGTGTTGGGGCCTCACTGGGAACAGCTTTAATGATTTATTGTTCACGTCACAGTAGCAGGTCTGTCAGAGTCTGCTATTGTATACAACACACTGTTTGGGAAGAAATGATTTAGCAACAAGAGGATTGTGGAAGATATAACAGATATACTACAGGCAGAACTTGCAAAGGGAGTGGGAGGCACTAAGCAAAGTTAAGTGAAACAAATTGCCTGTTACAATGTCTGTAGATGTTTCCTGTTGACTAAGAGCCCATCGCAATCTGCACTGCCGGGACAGTTTCTTACATTTCTGGTTTCTCGTTAAAGCACTCAATCAGCATCGGGGGGAGGCATCTGTGCAGACACGCCTGGACAGGCAGGCGAAGTTATTGCCTAACCTAGCCAGCTGTCTACACACTGAAATCTGTTGGTATTCGTTGGTTTTGCTACAGTCAAAACCAACAGGGTTTGTCAAAAACAGTCTTGCTCTGGCATGCTCATCTCAAGAGTCTTTGCCTGTAAGATAGATTCAGGTCGGTAGCCGTGTTGGTCTGAAGCAGAACAGTTCGAGTCCAGTGGCACCTTTAAATGTCTTAAAGGTGCCACTGGACTCAAACTTTGTAAGACTAATCATCCTGCGCACGTTTCCCCAAATGTGTTGGATGTTTAACTTTCTCTCTTATTCAGCTTCACACAGGGTCAGCTTTTTATACGCAAAAATCTGCAAAAATTCCCAAGGGATGATTGTTCCTCCTTTATGCAGGAGTGTCTGAACATTCCCTAGAAGCCAGCTCCCTCAGAGCCAGCTCAAGTAAACTCTGAGCAAGAGGTTGCAGAGCATTAAGTTGGGTGAAGAAGGGAAGAGGAACTGAGCTTGCTTGAGCCCTGAACACTTGAAAATCCCAAGAGAGGTTCTTTGGGTGGGGGGGAAGGGTTAAAATTGCCCCTTCCCCCAATGATTAATCATGGGCATCCTGTTTGTTTATACTGCTGACAGTATGCTAAGCTACATATCCAGGTGGTCAACCCTGTTGGTCTGAAGCGGTAGAATAAATTTAGAGTCCAGTGGCACACACATTTTCAAATACATCCCATTCCAATGTATTTGGAAAAGTGTGTGCGCACATGAAAGCTCATACCTTGAATACAACTTTGTTGGTCTCAAAGGTGCCACTGGACTCTAAATTTGTTCTACATTACATATGTTCTAGGGATAATGCAGCCCCTTCCAAGATGACTGCAAGATGCAGTGACTGTGTATGGTGTATCTAGGCTAGGAACTAGAGGCTTAGGGAGGGATGTAGAAGAAGGGAGTTCAGCTCAACAGAGGCATCTAGAAGAATGCACTGTAAAAATGATGTCAACGGGAGAGGAAGATAATGGGAAGTGATGGTAGATGAATTTGCAGGCAATGGAGGGAATGCTAAAGGAGCATAAAGACAGAGAAGGGGAGAGATAGGACAGGAACGCAGATGGTTTAAAAACAAAGCACTCGAAGCTTACTTTTGAAGGAAAGATTTACAGGATGCCAGCGTAAAGATGGAAGGAGATGGAAAAAGAATGACTGAGAGCCGCTTCTAGTGGAGCAGAATGAGCAAAAGCTGGACCAGGAGGTGGTGAAAGAAAATCTAAGGTAGACAGCAGGTTCAGAAACTCCTTGCTCAAAGGAGTGTAGAAGAGGGAGTGAAGAGGACAGAGGAAGGGATGGGGAGACAAAGTAAGGGTGTGGAGGACTGAGGGAGAGCAAGAATGAGAGAAGACGGTGCCTTGAATTTCGCACTGGAGCCTCAGGGGTGTGCTGAGACAGTTCACACACACCCTTCAAAGTTTAAACTCTCAATGTCCAGAGAACTCCTTGGATCATGTATCTTTAGAAATGTACGTTTTGTGTAAGTCACAGCCAGTGTCGATGAACACTACCTTTTTAATAGCTAGATAACCATACCATGGAAAGCAGTGGGTTCGGTTTCCTCTGCTTTACTGAGTGCCCCAGAGCCTGGGTGCACTTGGCATGTCACATGCATCTATACTGTTGGTAACTTGAGATGACAAAGCAAACAGGAATAGCCTCATCCATCACCCTGCACTGCAGAAGAGCTGTGGCTTGTGCTAAGCCAGGACTGGAGGGAGTGATCTCAGTTATTATAATTAGCACTGCAGATGCCTAAGATGCTGCTTTTCAGCATACCGTCAGTAGGATGCTTTCTGCTCTCACAGCATTTGGGGCAATTTGTAGATCACATTTGGCTACTATTTTCCCTACTGCCAATAAGGAAGAAAGATACCTTCTGTCTGTATGGTTCTAATCCCACCCAGTATTCTCTGGGGTTATTTCCCACATTGTTAGTATCTTTTAGATGCATCAAGATGTCTTCACTATTATGAAAACAAAATGCTGAAAATGTTAACAAAATATACTATACTCACAACACACTTTTCTAATAGAATCCTGTTTCTGATACTGTACTTTATTAAATGCTTTGCTACAAGATATTGTTGTGTAGGTTTTTGTTCCTTCTTTTGAATTTGTTGCCTCCTTCAAAGTCATGATTTTGCACTGGAGAAAATGCTGCTAAGTCCTTGAGAATGGACTCAGGGGGCTCTTTGCAGAAGTTGAGACTTATGAGAGGTTTGAAATGGACTCCTTCTGACTTCAGGGCCCACTGAGAACACAAATATAGTATCTGTCCAATAGTACATGTAGCTGAGGAATTTTGTCAATGGTCTGCCTCCCTGAATTGATTACTATTATGCCGGCTGAGAGTCTAGCATTTCAGAATCTTACTAAAATCCAGTTTTGTGACTTAAAAGAAGTATTTTGCAGTCACTTTTGTTCAAGTATCAGTTTTCAAAGTTAAACAGATTTATTATATTCCATCCATTACTGTGTATGCAATTAGGTCAGAGGGTCTCTCCAAGATTCTTAACGTTGAGATCCAAGCCTAGAATAACACCTTGCTGTTTATGACACTTGTCATGAAAAAAGTAATGAAAAAGAACCACTAAACAAGTCCACTGCATGCTTCTCTTTCAAAAGAGCCTAGAGAAAAGTCAACAGTAGATCTAATTGGAGAGCTTTAATTGAATTCATTCCATGGCAAATTTTAATACATAGATACAACATCACTGCTTGAATAAAACAAAGGGAGAAATAACTGATGAATTTTAAAACTTGGCAGATACTATTGCATCACTGGCATTAGTTTTAACCTAGACATCAGAACCACTAGCTTGGGTTGATACTTCAGAACTCTAGCATTACTTAACAATGGGTGTCAAGCAGGCTGCACAGTTAAGCAGTATCCAGCTATTAACTTGAAACTGTAGCAAATTGGATGCAGCTATCATGGCCCATAGTCAAAAGACAACTTCCATTACTGTCTAAGCTTTCTAAACCAGTGGCTGCTATATCCGATAGCAGCAAATTCCATAAATTAATTAAATTACATGCTGGGTGGGGAAGTACTTTTTGAATTTGTTTTCTTCCGGGGATTTCATTGGGAGTCTAGTGTTACAAGGCGAGAAGAAAAGTTATCTCATCTGCTTTCACTGTTTACTTCTTAAAATCTCTCTGAAGTTCCCCCATAGTCACCTTTTCTAAACTAAAAAGCCCCAAATGCTTCAAGAGCTCCTTGCAAAGAAGGTGCCCTAATCCTTACATCATTTGAGCTGCCCCTTTTGGTACCATTTCATCCCTGCCCCCTTTTCCGCACAGGGCAGTTTCACAGAGATTTCCAAAGCAAGTGGCAGCATAGATATCCATAAAGCATTATGCTGACCATTTGCATTTTTTAATAAAATACTCCCCCTGGATGTTGCATTGCACAGTACCCACCATCGCTCAAGAGCTCTTTCTTGTTTTATTTGCAGAACTCTCACGTACAGGACCCACAGTGACTTCTTTAAAAGAGAGAGGAAAGACTACAAAAGAGGTCCAAGCTGTCCTGGTAGTTTTAGCTGGAGCAAGCCACACTGATACAAAAGAGCACAGGGTTTCACTTTGTCTCCTAAAATGGCAAGCACTTTGGGAGAAAGCAGCTCATGGTCTCAACCCACCAGTTAAAGGACTTCCTTCAGTCCTACAAGATAGGGTATAAATAATCATTAATAGCACAGAGAAATCTGTTTAAGTCTCTGGAGTGATTTCCATGATTCTAGCTTTTCCCCTCATTAGAGAATTGAGCCTACAACCCTACCACAGAATATTTTTATCTTGCTTGTAAGCTACAAAAATTGCACACTACAACCATAGTTAATCTCTTTAATGCTCTATTGATTTCAGTGGAAGGAAGTCAAGAATATGCTTAACTCTCCCATTGACATCAATGGCCATATATAAGTGCTTACCTTTAGCTGGATTGCACCCATCGCTTTTTGGCTTACTGTCACTGCTCAAAAAAACAGCTACATTTAAGGGAACCCCCCCCCAGGTAACCAAAACATGACTGTTCTGTGACAGCTGCATATCCCAAGATTTATTTTAAGACTATTTTAACTTTTCAACTTCCTATTTGAATTTCCAGATGCTAAAATTTGCTCATTAAGGGATGTTAGTAGTTCTGCTTAGTTTAGGAGAAGAAAACTGTGGAATGGGACTCCATGAATCCAGTGTATTCGCGTAAGAGGCTGGTTTCCGCACAGTTTTTCTAGCTTGTCAAATAAAACGCTGACAATGCATAAAGCAGGCAATTCCATTTGTCCAAGAACAGCTGCCAAATTGAATTTCCCCCAAATAATGAGACTCGTTTTTCTACACAAAGCCAGTATAAAATCAATGAACAGATTGCGACAGCTATGGGTGTATAAAATGGTTGCAATCTTTGCGCAAGGGAAATGTAGTTTTTCATTTTTTACATTATACACAACCATTCTTCATTCATCTAGGGATTTTATTCTAGGGAGAAATAATGAGCAATCTGTGAACAGGTCTGAAGGAAAGATGCAAACAAAAGCGTCAAAAAAGCACTATTAGTCTTCATGAGACAGCCTGTTTCCAGGGTTAGCAGCATTGTATGGAAGAGTAAATCCTCATTACTTCTCTCTGCTGGCTGCAGGAATATCTGTTTTGACAGGCTAATCTAAGAGCTGACTGTCCCAATTTCATTTGCTGGATGAGAATAACCACCAGCCCTTCATTTCCTCCAGGTCCTGCTGGTTCCTACCACAATCGCTGGATTATGCTATCTTTACCAATTACAGCCCTTTAATCAAACCCTTGCATTTAGCTTGTAATAGTCAGTACCAGACTACTGTGTATAAGTGTCAAATAGTCCATAGCTAGGCATATGGCATTCATATTCCATTATACCCTACTAGGTTTATAGGCTGGTGCCTATGTCAGGACTTCTCTCAAAATTCTGGAGCCACAGTGGCTTTATCAGGCAGCAGCTGAACCTGTATATCCACCAAAACACTTGAGCTAGAGACATAATCAGGCAGATACATCAGGTTGTGACTCCTATAAAAGCTTCTGGATCAAGCTTGGTCTCTGAGCAACAACAGGGCTTTGGTTGGTGCTTTTCTTTCTAGCTTAAGATTTATTAACTGTCTCAGAATGCTGAATTGTTACTCAGATAAGATCAAAGAGCCTTAGATGTGGGAACAAGCAGAGTTGGAACTAAATAAATGGCCATTCATTACTGTGCCTCACAACTGAAAGAGTTTTGATTTAATTTCTTTAGATCCCTCCTCATGCTTATTTCAAGTCACTTTGCCTAATGGGCAAAATTCCTCGGAATAGGTAATTTTTAATCAGAAATGGTACGCAGAAACACTAGGGAGTCTTCTGAAATTTTCTTTTATTGAACAAAAGGACATTCATTGTTTCTTAAAGCACAGTTCACATGTTTATTCTTCTGCTGTTCATTTAAGTCCTATTCTTCATCCATAGACTGGAGAATGGCAGTATTAATATATTGAATTCTCATCCATGCATACTTAAATCTAGAGACTGGAGCCATGAGCACAGCTGAGAAAAGCCCCAGGTTTCCAGAAAAAAACTGAAATCGGGTTAAAACCACCTGAATGACAAAAAGAGCACCTGCAGCTTTAAGAAACAGATGTCCTCAGTGCCATTGCTAGACAACCACAACTATTGCCAGCAATCAAACCTTGATTTCCTTCAATAATAGGCAAAGGAAGGAGGAGGGCCCTTTTGGCCACTGAGGAAGGACTCATCAGGGCCAGGCCTGGCAACAACCAGCAAGAGACTTGCTATCACCTGACCTGCATGACTCACCCAGGCTTGACTGGTTGCTACTGTTCAACAGCAGCCACCCCATGAAAGACAATTTTGTATAGTGCTTAAGAGTTTCAGACTAGAATCTGGGACGCCTGTAGCTCTCCAGAAGGTGAGCTTGGGGCAGTCACACACTCTGACCACAACCTACCTCACAGAGATGTAGTAAGGATAAAATGGAGGAGAGGTGATAAACTGCTTTGGGTCAACATTGTGGAGAAAGGCAAGATATAAATGAAACAATTTAGCTGAAGTTGGAAATATTGTGGGGAGGGGTTACAGGGGAAAGTGAAGTACTTTCTGCAAGTCCTTGCAGGTTCCCCTTCTTCCAACTGGGCCTAACTCAGCCACAGTTCTTCCAGGAGGAAGGGAAAGCTGAAGTCGGAAGATAATAAAAGTTAGGTCGACTGGTGAGTGGGAAGGACAGCAGGAAAAGGGGAGATGCTATGGGGTTACAACGGAAGGAAACAAGGAAATAGTGGAGGAGGATTAAAAGACATGCACCTACAAGTCCTTGTAGGTTACCCACTTGTAGAAATCCCACTTATGACTAAATTCAAATGACTTATTAGTAAAGCAATTCATGTCAAGGCCACATAATGCTGTAGAATGATCCAGGCCCTTTCTGTTGTCACTAATTCAGACAGCCCATTTGGCATTCAAGATGTTTGATACTGTCTGTCTTAAATGAAATGCAGTTTAGTCTTGTTCAAATCCCACACGTAAAAAAGAAAATTCATGGCTCTGCATTCAAGCTGTTTTATAAAATAGATTGAATTACAGAAAACGTAGAGGGAATACCCTTACAAAATACTCTATTCATATTCTTGTCTGATATGTCTCAACCAAGATAATGATCTTCTGAGTATTTCAGGAAGTCTTTAGGAATAAAAAATACACAAAATGTCAGGCTTCTGATGATTCTAATCTTGATTTCTTAAAAAAAAATTACAGTAGTGAAAAAAGCACAGACTCTTGAACATCTTAGGAAATTTTAATACATCCAAATGAAACTAAAAAAAATGTCTTGAAATATATCTGCAAAACACTAGACACTGTGCTTTCTATATAAGACAGGCTCAATAACAAATATAAGTCACCGACCTAAAGTGCATTTTTTAATTAAATGAAAGCTACATGTTTGCACACAAGAAGCTGCTTCAAACATTATCCTAACACAAAGAAAAATACATTTTAGTAAGCTTTTCTTCTTTGTTTTAAAAAAGTTAAGTTTCCAAACAGTATTCTCTACTTTAAAAGCCCAACTTTTTCCCCCCTCTCAAAACAGGTGGCTAAAACTGGTTCATTTTTGGAAAACAAAAATCCTTTTCTATATATGTACTCTGTATACACATTTACGCACTCCCACGCATACAACATTCAAGGCCACATCCATCAGCTCTGATACTTTTAACGCAACAAACTTATCTGCCTCACAGCTCACAAGAATGCCTTTCTTCATGAACACTTAATGTCTCTTATGCTTAAGTATGCTGTCTTGTTTCTTAAAGACTCTACATAAAGATGGTCTCTGGGATATGTTGATGCTACTGTGCTGCTTATTCCATAGCAAAAATATGAAGGCAATTGCTAGTTTGGAAGGCTTACTTCCCTTAATGACGTACAGAACAAGGACACCAACCTGCAGAAGGCAAATGGTCCAAAAACATTTTAGTGCAAGTATAGTCAGTGGAATTATCTATACATGACTTGTAACAAATACACCAGAATAAATCAATCCAAAAGGGTTCCCCTTTTGAATCTTGACCTATTTAGTTTTTTAAGAACTGTTTCTATTCCAGCTCTTCATGTGTCTTCTACTGCTGATAGGAAGAAGTTGCATAGGGATTTTCTTCATCATCCTCCCTGTTGAGACAAAAGGAAGCAGAATTATGAAAATGCCACCTACAGTTTGCGTCACAGTAGTCAGATCAACTTTAACAAGTCTACTTTTAAAGTCCATATTTTGAGAATCTGTACGTGAACTATCAACCTCCTTGCACATATTCCTTCTCAAATTCTAGTCACCATATATCAAGGGTGCCTAAAAGCAGTGTAGGAAGGTGCTGTATTTTGTTTCTGTCCAACAGCACTACTATGGAACAGACAGCACCGGAGGGCCTTACTTTTGCCTGTAATGCCACAAAAACTGGTATTGTCTCTGCTGTTCTGATTTCTTGCCTCTAATCCCTGCAAGACCCACTGCATTGCTCTGCAAGGTGCAGGGATGGAGAACCCAATTCTGTGCCCCTCCCAGTGCAGCATCCTAGATATCCTTCCTGACAGAGCAAAGGATAGGGATTCCTCAGGAAAACTCGCACTTTAGCTGCACTACCCAATGAAGCTATCCTTAGGAACCGGCTGTCAGTTTCACTCGTGCCCCAATTTTCAGTTGGCACTTAAAAAACACAAGCATAGTACATCCCTAACTGTGCTGCAGATAATTTGTACAGCCAGCTCATTCAAGAATCAATAACACTCCCCAAACACTGCTACATTTCATGGATGGAAAAAAACATTTATGGTTTTTAAAACACAGCATGAAGTGTTTACATATCAGGAAGAACTGAAATCACAGATCGACTCTCTACATTCCTAACAAACACAAAGCTAGCTTCTGACTGGTTATCATGAATTAGAACAACTTTTTACTAGATTTTATTCTTGGCCATAGATTTGGTGAGGGGGGGGGGATCTTGCCAGTAGAGCTGCTGGCTAACTATGCAGATTAAATTAACATTGTGTTGGCGGCCGTTGCCATTACAATTTTAGCTTTATTCTCTCACGCCTCTTCCCCAGTATATATATTTTTAATTATCCTTCTTCTCCACTGCACTTGGGCTTCCTCTCACAGTTGCCATTTTGTGGTTCTGCCCACCACCCTGCATCAGAATTCCAAATGCACCCTCAGGCTCAAATAGTTTGGGGACCCCTGATACAGATAACCACTAGAAGAAAAGAGACCATCTGAATCAACACATTGTTAGTGTGCAGTTTCTACATAAGCCTCAAAGTCTTAATCTTTCACTAAATTAACTGAACACAGTTGCCAGGTATACTGCAAAACATCAAGAACCCATGCCACAAACTGCAAGAGGCTAAACTGACTAGATGAAGTCCATAATAAGCATTTTAAACAACGTATAAAAATGCATAAACTTGCCAGGATACAGTTTTATAAAGTATGCATAAATATACAAACTAAAACATGCTGACACACCATCAAGCTATGAGATACTAAACTGCATTTAGCATTATAGAATAAGTTGTAGAAGAATATTAGTAATTATAAAATATAACATTTAATATAACTGTATTTATTAATTTATTTATTCGATTTATACCATTCCCTCCCCACCAAAGGAGGCTTGATTCTAACTGTTGCCACTGACTACAAAACCGCTTCTGTAGTGAAGGCAGGATTAGCCACTAGGACTAGAAGTTCCTAACCCCTTATTTCCCTTGCAACATTAATGCATACTCATAGAATGAGGATATGTGACTGTTTCCCTGCCCTAGAATTTGAGACAGCAAATTCCATCATCAACACCCTGATGTTCTTTTATTTTTGCCTAGCAGGGTCCAAAACTGCAAGTATGGCCAACAGAAAACTGCATTTGAAGAAACTAAATGGATGCAGGAAGGTTTAAACATCCGTTTAACCCCTAGATCCTCCCCATGTCCCTATCCAGTCCTGCATTCCCATTATCTCAGCATACAAAGGTTTTGGAAAATATCCTCCCTAAGGCAACATCTAGCTCCACTCTGCCATCTAATGGCCACTTGGGGCCCAATTGCCAGTTACATAGGAGACTGCACTGGGCACACCTTTCTTCCAAGGGGTACTTTTAGTAGTGAAATGGCACGGAGAGGGAAAGGGCTAGTTCTCCCTTCACTGAACACTACAGCCCTGATCCAAACCTCCCCTAACCTCTACTGCTTTTATGCTTAAAACAAAAAATACCACTTTGGGATATATCATAGATCATACACTTAATGTGCAGTTTGCCTTTAATTCGCTCAGTATTTTCTCACTAAAAGGAAAAAAAAGGAAAGGAACTCTGTTCTGTTATGGGGAAGACCGTGCAAATATTAAACCCTACAAGACTCTACAAAGCTGGACATTGGCCTGACATGGGCCTATCCCTCCACTGCCTGCTCCTGGCAAAGGTTACATGTAACCGCCTTCAAGACTTTTAATAGTTTCTTCTATCATCACACCTCCTTGTATGGTGCTCTTTTCCTGTTCTGGCTGTCGCTAAGCCAATCAGTTGCTTCCTTTTGAAAGGAAAACAATCCTATTCTTCCTTTTGGGGCTTTGTGATTTGCTGTTCTGTTCCTGCTCTTAACAGGCTGCCCTAAGAGACTGCCTGAATGTGGAGCTTAATTAAAACAGGGAGTCACGGGGACCAAATGATCAAGAATGAATAGGAGCAGATAGAGGCAAACAAAACAACAGTATGGCTATAGCTTGGAAAGGACAGGCTGATAATGCAGGACTCTGAAGCCTTTTCTGGAAGGCAGCATTTTACTAGCAATGTGTCAAACCTAAGTGATTCAGGCAGCAATCCTACACTTACTTGAAAGTTAACACCACTGACTTCCAAACATGATTATGATTAGATTGCATTACATCAAGATGGGTTAGAATGCAATTTACTGTAAATTCTCTTATCTGTATGCCCAATCCTATGATGAATATGGCAAGCACACCCAGTACAATAAAATGTATACCTTAATATTTAATTCAGTGTAGTGTGAGCTCCGTAATTATATCTTACTTGTAAGACACATGCCAATATTAGAGTTACAAATATTTGCTACTAAAAGAGAAGTGCAAATAATCAGTCATTCCTAACATAGATTTGGATTGGTGAACTTTGTTTTTTTTTTTAAAAAAGATACAAGTGCTCCTCAAAAACCTAACAATACGTATGAAAATAACGGGTCACGGGGAAAGTCCTGACTATACATATGCCGCCTTACCAGTTGCAATTTGCCTCCCCCTAGTTTAGTCATTGCAACTTAATTTATGCAGTCTTCCTATGTGAAATATCTTGACACTAAAATAAACATCCTCCTCCACACTTGATTCTGCATGACAGAGATAAAGAGCAAACTGTGTCCTTGCAGTGTTCATGTCACATAAGCCATCAGCTTAATTGCCAGGTCAAAGCCACCTAATTTTATATTAATGTCTCCTTTCTTCCAAGCTTCAGATTCATCAGCAAGATGACCATTTACACAGAATGCTTCAGAGATTATATGTTTGTAAAATGATGCAGTGTGAAATCCATCATTAATAAAAATTAAGAAATTCCAGAAATATAACCCTTCCAAATCAGCAGCCAGATGAAGGCAGGTGTAAACTGAAAGTGTAAATGCTCATCAGGTTGCCAGTGCCACAGCAGGCAACTCTAGCTACAATAAAGTGCAGCCTGCTACACAGATACCAAAATAATCAAGCTTAGTGAGCAATAGTATATATTGATTAAATTGCCATGAAAGGAACATAAAAGTGCTAATGGAAAGGAAAACAGGAAGTACAAGAAAAGGAAACAAACACTAGTTGTAGAACCCCAAACAACTCAGGTGTGTTCATAGTAAGTACACACAGAGCACACAGAACAAATGAGATGACGCATCAGTGTGAAAAATATATTTTAAAAACATGAGACGGTGGAGCCATACTATTCCATTTGGAATAGGAAATGCAACATACTAGGAGTCAGAGAAAGCAACAACAACAATGATCAGCAAAAGATACTTGTTTAATAATGTTACAAATTTCAGAAGCTATATAAGTTGTTAAAGTGTCAGAAGGCTACCTTTTGATTTTGTTACAAAAAAACTAACAGTTTTGAAATGCAAACTCTCATGGCCTAGAATAGACTTCATCAGATGCATGAAGTTATAAATATATAGATCTACTGACTGACTGACTGTAGCCCATGCATGCTTATGCTACTATTACATTTGTTTGTCTCTGAGATGCCACAAAACTTCCCTACTTCATCCAAATCAAGTCACATACTACAAGCCTGCATCTTGTGCATCCATGTGCTGTGGGAGTAGATGCTATATAGCTGTAAAATGTAACAAAAGGCAAGTATACACAATTATTTCATTCCAAGTATGAGACCAAACAAAAAGAACGGCATTCAAAACAACTCAAAATGTTTCAAATTCCTACGTGCCAATATTATACTTTTAATATATGGGCCGCTTGGGTAGGGCAGGATATAAATCCCAAGTAAATAAATAAATAAATACCAGCCCTGAACAACAGTCTCAAAAATTATTTTAAAACTGCACCCACTCCGCTTAAATACCTTGGATTTTTCTATCCTGGTTTGCAAATCATACCTGGTATCCTCAGGTTTTAGTTTCCTAGCTGCCTGTTTGGACAGCTTAATCTGCAAATCTAGTCTGTGTAGAAAATCTTTGGCAGATAATTCTTCAGGTGGAAGAAGATGATTGTCAGATTCTTGAGGACTGGGTGAAGACTTGTCTTCCTGAACAGTCACCGGATCATCTTCATAAGAAGGGGGGCTGCTAATTGCTTCATTCTCAGGAGACTCCAGCGAGTTCAGTCCATTAAATAGCAAAGGTTTCTCTGATGTAACTGGTATATTCAATGTTTTTCTCAGAAATATGCAGTCATTTGTGAACAGCTTATTTGCCCTTTTTATTTGCTCCATCTGAAAAAGAGACACAATACTGTTTACCATTGATTCACATACAGTTAACCACACCTAGATAATGACCATAAATCAGCAATTTTCTGCAATAATGCATCCTCATTACAGAAACTTCTTCCCTAAACATACTGCCTCTTTCAGTATATTACAGGAAAATGTCTCCATAACAAACACACTCTGCCCTTTCTGCCACTCTATGTCTCCTTTAATTATATTCTCCACATTGGCGTCCTTTTATAACTTTTCTTGCATCTCAGCAAAAATACAGCAAAGAATAAACTACAATTAAAACCTAGGTATGATGCATTACAATATCCCTCAAACCAGGCAGCCATGTAAATTCTCTCTCATGCATATAGTAGAGATTAGAAGTCATGTAAAGGTAAAGGAAGGGGGCATGGGAAAGATCACAGATCTCAGGCAGTATCTAAAAACTAAACAGCATTTAGTAAAGGTTCCCTTGCTCGAAAGCCAGTCGAATCCGACTCTAGGGTTGCGGTGCTCATCTCCATTTCAAAGCCGAAGAGCCAGTGCTTCCGAAGACATTTCCGGCTGGCATGACTGAACACCAAGGCGCATGGAACGCTGTTACCTTCCCACTGAAGTGGTACCTATTTATCTACTTGCAATTTCTTGCTTTCGAACTGCTAGGTTGGCAGGAGCTGGAACTATAGACGGGAGCTCACTCCGTCATGCGGCACACTCGGGTCTCGAACTGCTGAACTACCAACCTTCCACAGTTCAGCATCTTAACCACTTGAGCCACCACGGCTCCTAGAACTCATGTACCCTAAGAGAATTGCATTCTGCGGCAAATCTAGTGCAATTTCTGTCCTGAAAACTAATATCTTCAAGATAGGGCTGTAAATTAGGCACTCTAAGGACTCATCCAGCCTCTGGCTTTCCAGAAACAAGCTTAGGTGCCCCTTCTTTTATTTGCCAGAAGACAGCTGTTTCAAATAACAAGGGAAAGATTATGTGAAAGGCAGCAAGATAGCCCCATAACTTTAACAACATCTTTTCCTTTTTACCATGCGAGTCCCACACGAATAATTGAAGCATCTTAGAACAACAATGGCATACAGTTGAAAGGTTATGGCTCTAAGGGCACCAAATATCAACCGTCCAAAATTCCCATGATGGTGCAAGAAAAATGTTATAATTAACAATCACAGAACCAGACTGTCAGTTAATAGGCCTCCCTGGTGACTGCTCCAGCAACAGGTTTGTCTCTGCGGCTGGACAAGACAGATGTCTCCTACAGAAACCTAAGCACTGCAGTAAGAAAGAGGTTCCCAAGACTAACTGCAGTTGAACGGGTTAAATGTGTTTTCTTTTGAACTCATGCGGTACTTCAGCATTTTATTTGTTTATTTATTGAATTTCTACCTCACTCTCCCGGCCAAGGCTGGCTTACATAAAATCAGCATAGAGTTTACAATAAAACATAAAATATAGATTAAGCAACAACAATTAAAACAATTCTAAAACCATTTAAACCATAGGACATAATAAAGTGCATAATAAAGCACTGTCAGTTTTGTGCTATTTATTGAAAACCTCTGCATTACCTCTGAAGGCACACCTTGTCCCACAGGACTGCTACTTGAAAAAGTTCAGTTCACGCAAAGAAATACAATATTTTCTCTATGGTATTAGTTTCCTCAGTGTCTCAGTAGCAGACACAGAGAAGCTTAATAAATAATGTAGCAGCAACTGTGTAATGCAGATGCATTTGTTCCAGCTTGCTCTCTAGAATAGCTGTGTATGAAGATTTTAAGGGGCAGTTCACACCATCTAATTCACCACTTATTAGTTGAAATATCAAGCACCGGTTTCCATATGTAACCACAGCATCATGAATTTTTTTTAAAAAAGAACATTTTCTTATCACCTTAAATTCAGCAATTTTCTAGTTGAACCAGCTTAAATATTCAGCTGCCACTCACTGCCAAGTAATCAGGTGATAAGAATTCAAGTGATATTTATCCAAGTGAGCTTTTGGGAGTGGTTCACAGACTCCAATGCAAATCTAACTAATCTAATCAATTTGAGTGACTTATCTTAAGACTTGTAGTCATATTCATGTATTTGTACCATTTGTGGTAACCTGATTTTGGATTTGACTCTCTTCACTGTTTTCTTACTTCTAAATTGTGGTTAGAAAAGCAAGGAATCTAGCAACGTGACATCTACTTCATTCCTAGTGATAAAAGTGAAGAAAGTGGCCAAGCAGGACGAGCTAATTTGACCATACTGAGGAGTGACAAGTGATGGAGTACCTCAGCCCTTACTGTCTCTGCCTATCTACACTAGACCACCAAGATATCAAAGACAAGAGACTTGACAATGGAACTGGATGATGCTATCACAGATACAGCTTCCAATAATATGAATACGAAATAAATTCATGTAGATAACTACAACAGCAGAAGTTTAAGTTAACCTGCAATGCTATGTGTTCCAGAAAGCAAAGCTTTCACTTCCACTGCACCCTGCTTCCTTTGAGGGCTTAGTTAAAGATGAAGTCAAATGCTTTGGGGGAAACCAGAGGAACAGTATTTTACATGTGGGTGTGTAGTTATTTGCTTAACAGCAAAGGATGTGGCTTTATGCAAGATTACTTACAAAGGCTATGGAATAAAATGCAGCTGCAGAATCAGTTTGTTATGCCCTAATAAGGAATATGTGAAACACTGCTTATTATTATGGTACATGCCATTTCTTCAACTGACAGTATAAGATATACCAAAGAAATGATTCTCTGAAGAATTGTAAATAAAGTACACACAGCAAATTAGATTACATACAAATTGAAACCCACAGATTTGCAGATCTTGTGTCCATTCCTACTTCACTCTCGCACTCCCCCCATTCACACTACTCACATAATACATACACACCCATTTCACATATGACTCCCATATACAGCAGTTCCACACTGTCCAACAGATGACCAACACTTTTTATAGTGCTGCTTCTCAGATAAACCTGCTCCACCAACAGCACAGTCTCCTTTTTTCTTAGTCCTTGAGCACTCACTTCTTGATGGAGTGCAATGTTCACAAATATTCCATAAAACAATTGCTGCTGAGCTAGTAAGAGGGGTGGGGGTGGTCACAGATCTTTCAATAAACTGCAATCTAAACTTTTGAAACCAAAAACTGATATCTGAATTAAACTTAAAAGGTGTGATACTGGTGAGGTAAATAGCTAGCTTCCCTGTATAACTTTGCACAGGCTCAGGATCTCATTTAAACCGCACTGAAATCTGTACAAAGCACATATGTTAGCTTAATTTTGCACACCAAAGATCCATAGCCATATGCAAACCACATGTGATGAACTGCATGCAAAATTAATGATGTTTCTAGCATGGTACTTACCAGTACATAAGAAATGTTTATTATTTGCTTACATGATGCTTCACCGCATCTTAAAAGCAAAAACATCAAGTACCTGCTCAAAGGAGTTTATAATGAACTTTGACAGCTGGGAAGCAGACGGTAAGGAACAACAGAGATCAGGGAGGGATGGAATCTGCTAGTGCTGCATGAAGTTAACCTGGGGAAGACTGTTAGATCACAAACAAACCCAGAATGAACAATCCCAGACACACATCCAGGACGACTTGCAATGTCATGAGGTGTACTGGGACACAACCAAGTGGCAACTTGCATACAAGCCTCTTGAGCAACACTGCAAGGGACCCTGTGGGTATACCTTTCAGACTGTGCACTGTTGCTTAGGCTTTCCTAAAATTTACTGCCACTCTCAGCATCGCTTTGACTTCTTGCAACATGATTTAAGTTCAAGGCAGACATGCAATAAAAGTGGCAAAATAAAACATGACATAACTGGAGGGGAGGCGGGGGCGTGGAGAAGACTAACAACTGTTTAGAACACATGCCTCCTCCTCCTCACAAACTGTCTTTCACTTCCTCCCATGAAACCACCAGCTGGGCAATGTTGGTTGCCCAGCCATATCTTTACTCCTGCAGCAAAACAGGCCCATATCTGTCTGGAAGCACCTACCACCCCTGAATCCCTGATGCCAGAGGAACTGATGGTAGTTACTCCATTGGCGAGGGGGGATGACACTCTGTGCATGCTCAGAGTGAGGCTTGCTTGTCATAACTGTGCCAGGCAAAGGCTCTCAATAGGCCCTCTACCCACAACACCTTAGAACCTTGCACTTAGGCAATGCTGGTTGCCTGGAAGGCACTACTCACCCAACCAAATTCCAGTTGCCAGAGGAATGAGCTGCAGTTTCCCCACAATGAAGAAAAGGCACTCTGCACATGGCCAGAAAGAGATGCTCTCTCCACCATGTATCAATACTTTTCAAGGCAATCTCTGGCAACAGGATGGACATCCATACAGTGTTTGCATCCTGTACTAAATAATTTATGTACTTATTTCATTTATATCCCACTTCTCTCCCCAGTGGGGACCCACGTTTATTTACAGCATTCTCCCCTTCTTCATTTTAGGTTAAGCCGAGAGGGTGTGACTGACCGAAGGTCACCCAGGAAGCTTCCACGGCACAGCATTCAAACCTAGGTCTCCTAGATCCCAGTCACTTTAACCAGTACAGAATACTGGGCAAAGCCTTTGCTTTTCCAAGGAGAGGTACCAAGGCTCAGTCTGTCCAAACGCCCCTAAATTCCCCCCCCCACAACATACCTTAATCCCAAGGGCTGGCTGTAGTTGCTTCAACCTAAGGGTGTAGTAGTTAAGAGTTGAGGATTCTAATCTGGAGAACCGGGTTTGAATCCCCACTTCTCCACATGCAGCCAGCTGGGTGAACTTGGGTCAGTCACAGTTCTCTTGGCCCCCAAAATAAACCTAGCTTGCCACAAAAAGAGCTAGAGTTTCAGGCTGCCAGACAATCTTCAGATCTCCTGGCTATACAACACCCACTACCATACGATAATTAATGAATTAGTAAGCACAGACAATGCACTCTACACACGCTCAAAGGCAATCTCTAAACAACAAAGCTTCCCAAGGG